TCTTTATGTGTTTCAATATTGCCATTAAAGCGCATCATGTTAAATTAACTCAAGTTATATAAAATTCACACATTTAATTTAATAAAGAAAAAATATACACGCTATATTTTGTGTTTAGAATAGCAAAAAAAAAAAAAACAAAAAAAAAACAAAAACAAAAAAAAAACAAATACACGCGCGTGCGTTCTTTTTTATTTCGTTATATATATGTATAAATAAATGCGTGCGCGAGCGCACAAACTCGCGGACGTATATTGCGTTAATCAATGCATACTTTCTACATTGACAAAAATAGAATGAAAAAAAGTCGCTAGATACAATTGTTCTATCTTATCAACCAACGAAACTTTTCTCTTTTAAAGCTGTTGGACGAATTTCCCTTATATGTCTATATTCGTACATTGTTCCTTCTTACTTATCATTAGCAATAATATACATCTATACAAAACATTCGGATACAAATAAATCTCAAAGTTCTTTAATTTCTCGTAAAAATAATCGAATTGCTGCCTTGGTTCCAGGTTCGGCGGCCTTGCTCGCTCCTGCGCACTAGAAGCGTTCGAGTGCCTCTAGCGACACGGCAACGCATATCAAAACCAAACTAAATAATGCCAAAGGATACTCTCGGATCAGCTGTTTTTCTTACCCTGTGACTTTGACAGCAATATATTAGGTTAACTCGAAATAATTCGAGATATATCGGTTTTGTCCTGAAATCACGCACTTTTCCCACGAAATTATGTAGCTAATGCGCTAAAACGAACAATGATTAATTATCAATGAATCTGCTCGAATGCATCGTGTCTAGCTAGGAAGCTATTTTCCCAATCTATCGCATTATATACATTAATAAAAAACTATTTGAATAATAAGATATACCCGCTCTCGCGAGATGATAAACAAGTCATAATGGCGGCGCCCACGATGGTCATTTGTGACGTCTTACGTATTTGCAGATAAAAGAAACGGTGAAATTTCAGTCAGGGTCAAATTTTCCGTAATCATTCATTGTAATGTCCTAATTAATTGCATTGGACTCATCTACGCTTAACCATTTATTGCCCGTGGAATCAATTTCGATTCCAATGAACATGAGTAAAAAGTAAGTAGACGTAATTAAGAAAAATATAGCAGTCTCATCATTGTACTCAGTCTGATGTTTATTCTAGATTGTCGAATTCAAGAGGTACAAGTGACTGCAGATTTCCCACTCAGCCTAGAAAGAATAAAAAGCTGAATAACAGAAAAAACAATTTGACCAATGAATTCCGGTCTAGTAGCAATAGAAATAGTCATGACCAAAGCGAAGAGGAAGTATTTGGAATGGAGTGCCAATCCATGTTTTGGCAACAACCGAGTACATCGCGTCAAGTATATCACTCAGCTCATAATATGCAGCGCCTTTTCACAGCCATATCGGATCCTAGTGTTTGCGGATATTCTGCAGTACCTGCTACTTACACAATGGAGCCTGTTCCGTTACCTCCCCTATATCGAATTCAAGAGCCAGTCATTAAAGCGCAATACAGACCTTACAGAGGTAAAACAAGAGCATCTTTAATGAGTATGCAGCATCGTCCTGCATGGAGTTTTGATGCGTTTGGAAATGATTATATGAGTCTTCAAAAGAAAGGTTGGAGCCATTCTAGCCCTGTGGGTTATCAAAATGGAGATTATGCAAGCTTGCCCCCTACTGCTAACATTGACAATAAAAATAATAGAGAGGAATTGAGCGCGGAGCACAGACGATACTCAGATCCTGGATTAGGCCCTGCCGACCCACCAACTACGTCAAGAAGCGATGAGACGGACAGTGCGGATAGTGATAGTTCAATAACGACCATTGGAAAGAGTAATAAACTATATTTGACACTTATTGAGCAGGTACAGCAGATTTCTGCTTTTCTAATATATCATTACAGCTTTGTTTCTCGTTAAGTTGATTCGTTATTTGTAACAGATAACAAAGATGAAGGAAATGAATAGTCAATTGTTTAAAGAATTGCATCAAGCCAAATCAGACTTAGAAACCGTAAAGACTGAATTAAATCAATTCAAAAAAAACATTCCTTCGGATTACCAGCCAGGAATGTTATCGGGTAATCCAATTTTTTTATTGAAGTAAATCGATATGAGAATCAAAACACATTAATATTAATTAAATTGTATCTGTTTTTACGTAACATTCAGATATTATTAAAGAGATCAGAGATGCCAGTAGAATCAAGGAAGAGGTGATGCTCTCAAAGTTGAAAGTGCTAATGGATAGTCAACAATCTCAAAAATTCATAGATCTAGAACAGTTGAAAGTAAGTAATTACTCGACGAATGTGGGAATGAAAATTTTATTATTAAAGCGGCCAGGTGCTTTGTCTCTAGTCCGGTGTCGGTGCGTTGCCGAAGATTTTGTTTGATTAGGATGGCCAGGTGAAACTAGTGCCGCCTGGGCGTCGTATCTTTCGTTTCTCTTTCTTCTGTTTCTCATCCGCGAGCAAAGCGTTGAGCGAAAATATATCGTGTCTTGGTTGGTCAGGGAAAGCGTCGACCTCGGCAACGTCCAACTCGACGCTAGAGAGAGACATAAAATAATCGAGCCCGTAATAATATTGATGTGGAGTAAAGCCGAGCCGTATTAAATTTCAGCGAGGGGTTCGTTGTGTCACGAATAGGATGGGGTAGGGTGGGGTCAGCACACGGCATCCGTCATTTTCCAAGGCGTAAGCGATCGGCGACATGGGGGCACTTAGGCGCTCCTTTGCCCCTGTCCACGCTCGTATCGGGTTTCTCGCGTCCATTAGCCTCACGAGTCGCCGAGTCGCGGCACAATGGTAGCCCGGACAGCCACCGCCGCTCCCTGACCCGTCGCTTTTTTGAAATGGCCGCTGTCTTTCTCGTTGCAGAGTCAACTGGAGAAGGTGAGGCGCGAGAAGGACGAGAGCGTGGAAAGAATCGGCAAACTCGAGACGGAAGTTGCAGCCCTGAGGCTGAGCTTAAAGTAAGTAACGAGCAGCGCGAGGAATGATACGGCCGATGGGAGAGCAATAATAACATAAGTCCCTTTATTTTCGTGGATAGTAGCAGCGAGAATCGTGAGATCGCTGCCTTCGAGGAGGAGAACCTGACGCTGCGCCGGGAGCTGCAGGAGGCGAGGGCCTCCAGGAACATGGCCGAGTGCCATGCGACAAAGTGCGTAAACGCTGCTGTAGCCCTTCGGCCTGTCACGCCTGTACATTTCGACTCACCTAGTCCCTCTATGACGAGCACCCCCGTGCGTACCACATACGACTCCACATCCACAGATCCATCCCCATCCGTCGCCAGTCTCCGTTCCACGGACGGCAAGCACGACTCGGGTTCGTCCGGTTCATCGCTGCTGCTGGACGAATACCTGTACGAGGACGAACGGACACTCGTCGCGGCCGTGGCCACGGGAACCTCGTCAAAGGACGAGAAGAAGCCAAGGGGACCAGAGCACGAGTCGGACAAGGCCCGCGAGGGCCCCATTCATACCAATATCCTGGTCGCTGCTAGCCCCGTCGTTTCAAAAGACTCGACGAATATCCTGACCTCCAGAGTCCTGACAGCACCTTCACGCGCCACCTACACCACCACCTACATTTAGGTCGTACGTGCGGGGCCAATCATAGCAAATAATCAAAAGACAGAACAAACAATTTATAATACATATGAGACATCTTTAAATACATATAGATACGCACATACACGCGTGTGTTTATACAATTCATGTATACATATACATTCGTGTGTATATGCATATATGCACGTGTATACGCGCACGCGCGTGCACTCATGCACACGAACACCCATACGTGCACGAACGCGAACACGAACACGAACACCGACACCAAACCGGTACACACGTATAATTATATGTATATATGTATATATGCATATACGTATATATGTATATATACATATACGTATACATATATATATATATATATATATATATATATATATATATATACGAGCAAATAGATAGATAGAACATACGTCTCGACAACACACCACAAAAGGGCTTTTATACTGGCTTATTCTAGAGGTTGCGAATACTCTGTACATATCAAAAATAGCACGTAGGTTTTTATGGTTCACCGTTCATGCATGTTTTGTACATAATGTGCTTCGCCATTTTCTTTTAACTATATCTAAAACTCAGTTGCCAATATGCTTCACTGACTACCGCTTATTTCATAAAGTTCTATTTAATATTTCCATACTTACAAGACTCTGCATCAATATTTTCAGACTATTATATCCTTAAAATAGACTAGTCCTACTCGAAGACGTCTGGAAATATCGAAGCTATGTGTAGCAAGAGAGTGAATCCTTCTTAAACGTAAAGTAATTTTATGTCTTTCTCTGTTGTTAAAACATTGCGCTTAAACCAGGTCATCGGTTAACAACTGATTATTGAACTTTACTCGCCTCAAGGTTCAACATCTCGCGTCGTTGATACGATAATTTATTCAAATAGATATATTCGATTATTTTATTAAAATTAGCTCGACTTTAGGCAACAATTCGATTGATACATAAGCATTAGGAGCGCTTTAATAAAACGCTGAATGAAATTAAGTTAACGCGAGGATCAGCATTATAGGAAACGTCAATGCTCACTTCCCCGAACAATAAGATTAAGTTTTCAGCGCAAAATACAATTTTTTTTCTTACGTCAATGTAATTTACAAAACTATTACAAAAAGAATAAGAATAAAAAAAAAAAAAAAGAAAAAAGAAAAAAAATCATTTTACGATTAACAAAAAGTTCTTTTGATCCGCACAATACTGTAAACGTTATATTATGTCTTCTTTTCGGTAGATTTTAAACACTCGAAAGAATAGCTCCATCCTAAGAAAATAAAGGTTTTGTGTCGAAGGTTGGAACGTTTGAATATCTCAAGTCATTTCAAAGTTATATTTACTTGACAAGGATCATAAACATTAAATTGAACAATATATTATTTTAGCTGTTTTGTGGATTTTTCCGATGCACTTTTTAGTAATATTTAACTGTCTGTACCTTTGAAATAAACCGCAATGTTTGCTTGTTTAAACGATAGGCGGAAATTTTTTCTATTTTAATTTTATTACTTATTTTATTAAAAATCCAAGAGATCTTCATAAATTTCAATGTAAAATTAAAGTGAAAGTAAAATTGTTCTCCAAGTAATACGAAATTTATTAAAATTAAATAAACTTGTTTGAAACACATTCAAATTCGCTGAAATAAATTCAATAAAAATATTTCTTGAATATTTGTAATAAAGTAAATTAAACTAAATGCCATGTGTTGATAATTCTATATGTTTTATAAATATAGCATTCGAAGTCAGTTGATAATATAGTAAGCAATCGATCCCAAATTAGCTTCAAAATAATTTACAACTTAGCTCGTAGTTTATATTTTTGTAGAATTATGACCAAATTCGAATAGAATGATGATCTATGATTCTAACAATAAATGAAAGTGCTTGCGAACCGCCTTTATCGAACGTTACTCCTCTAAAATATTTTATAAAAAAATTCTAATAAACAATCAGCAGTCAGCTAATGCTTTTATAAATAATATTTAATATACAGAAATATCTTAAATTTTATTTTAAACACATTGTTGCCTTATACGTCAAAAGCATTATGACAATTTACCGACTCCGTCGAGTAATAAAAAACGACATTTTCATTAGATGTTCAATAGATAATCGCGTGCTTCGACAAACTTACCTTAAGGCGAAGAAAGGCCATTTAGTTAAATATAAATATATTGACTCTGCAATGGAAAAATGTTACTCGGAAAGTTAACCTTCGAATGACTTATAAACGCGCCAAATATTATAAATACAAATGTATAGCAGATATTTTAGATACATTGGCATTGATTATCCGCTCCAAGCAGCGGAGAACGATATCTGTACTTTAAGGCACGCGGAGGAAACGGAAGCGTGACTTTGCTCTCCACGCGCATAAGCTCCATTGCATACATCCTTTTAGACGATTGCGCAAAGGAGCACAAAGTATAGTGCCTGAGGTGCGATTTAACCGCTGCCCTGGTTTATCGTTCGAAAATCATGAATAAAACAGAAACAAATGAAAGGGAAGAGAATTAACGTCCTAATAAAGTACTACATGGACAGGAGTGAATAACGTCTGAATGTCCGTACATTAACCGTGACTAACGTACGAGGGTGTTGAATTGGACAGCCCTGGTCCCGTAATTTGCATATAGAATCTACCTGTCCCCGGAAGAGCACAACAGCGCCGGGTCACGAGATCAACGAAGGATTTGCCTCTCTTCGGCCGCTCCATCCTCGTCGTAGGCGAGCGGTTAACACTAGGTCGCATGGCTTTTGGGGGCGCTTTTTATTTAAATGGGCGTTTGAAAACGGGCCGTCGTACGTGGCCACGTGTACGTAACGCGGATACGTGATGATTTATCAGACTGGAGAGGCTCATGGAGATACTGCGCGAGAAAACGCACGCCGCCGGAAGCACGAGTACTCGTAATGAGCAAAAAGCTGTGGCTGAGGAGGAGGACGACGATGAGAATGACGATGAGGAGGAGGATGAGGATGAGATAGATGTCGAGAACAAGGAGGAGGGGGAGCCGAGAAGAGACGAATCCGAGAAGAGCAGCAAATTGGAGAGCAACCCTACCATCGCCTCGGGGCCCGTTACCGATCTCTGAGTCGATCGCCGTCTGTGCACCATCACCATCCCGTCGGCTAACCACGAGATCAGCGACTCGAGCCGAGCTGCGTCCATGCGAGATTAGTTCTCCCGTTTCACAAGGCTCTTCCTTATTTTTATTGGCCCTTGTTCCGATAAGCCTCGACCCCCCTCCCCCGACACACACTCACCCGCTGGTCCTAGTATACGCCCATCTCTCACTTTAATCAAATGCTCTCTCTTTTCGAACCTCAATACTTTCACGATCTGTCAACTATGCAGGGATACGTAGTTGCTGTTCATTAAACGCTCTCTCTCTCTCTCTCTTTGTCTCTCTGATTCACTCTCCCTCTCTCTCTCTCTCTCAGCCTCTCTCTCTCTCTCTCTCTCACTCTCACCCTCTCTCTCTCTCCCTCTCTCTCTCTCTCTCTCTCTCTCTTTCTTTATTATGATTCATAACTTTATTTTTACTAGCATTATGAACATTATTACCGTAACGTTATTTTAGCTGTATATTTACGTGTCGCGTGTACTTACGGGCACGCGTACATTTACGCAAGGGAACAAATACACAAGTACGCAGAGCAACTATTATACTGTATGTGTTTTATCAATGTTAAATAATTTGCTCTTCTTATTCTTTATGTTTATTAGTTAATTGTGCAATTTATTTTAATACATGTACATAAAAATAATACCAAAATCGATAATTAATTTATTTCTGCGATTATTTTTTTGTTTTTTTTTTTAATTTTTTTCTTGTACACTTTAATCATATCTTTGTTGCCAGCAATTTTTAAAAAGTAAAACCATACTTTGCGTAATTATTGTCGATGGCTTTTATGTAGAAAATTAATTACATCTTGTTTGATAAAATAAAATTATATATATATATATATATATATATATATATATATATATATATATATTTATATATAAACATATGCATGCAGTTTTATTCACAGCGAACGATAAGAAAAATGTTTTATATTTTCATTATACATGCAACTAATGTTTAAAATAATAATTAAAATATATAAATATTGTCTTTACTAATAAAAATTATGTTAATAACAACATCGACAATAACGACAACAATAACAAAACAGTAACAACATCAATAATTATAATAATAATAATAATAATACATAGACTGGTTTTGCATTTTATAAAATTGTTTCTCTAAAATTGTAAAAAATATATTCCGAAAACATAAAAGATACATGACCGTTTAATGTTATTGCTTGATCTTTATTGGATACTCTGTAGAGCAATTGAATGATGTAAAAAAGTATAATTTTACTAGAGAACATTTACACATGCTTTACAAATATATATACATATATAAGTTTATCCGTATTCCAGTCCAAAAACTTAGCAATAATAATACTTCTAATGCAAATAAAAATATTAATAACAATTATAATAAGCGTAACGGTTGACTAAGACTCACCATGTATGTATGACACTCTCTTCTATTCCAATTATTTTATACTAGTGTATTTAAATCTTCAGTATATTTTTAAATTTGTACAATCTCCATACTTTATCATGCGCACTTATTAAGACATTGATTTTATCATACATTATAACTACTACAAATGTACAATAGAAAGTTATGGCACATTTCCATTTATTCTGTCTATATTATATACATACAATTTCTTATTCAGATCGAAAAGATAAAAAATTATAATAATTATTTTTATAATATTATTCTTGCGGCGGCATCATCGAATAAATCGTATAAGATTTATATAATTAATCATTAGACAAAGTTTTTATAAAAGTTTATCAATTTACGAGTCTATTTTTCATAGAGACTCAACAACATATACATTGTAACACAATCCTAGTTTTCAGCTTGAAGAAGGAGTCGTTGTAACGAACATCTCTATTCGTGCAATTTATAATGCTGAGAATGTACATTGTTGAAAATATTAATTTACTGCAGAATAATTCTGTAAATATCATATTGTAAATTGACGATGAAAAGTGCCATTAGCTAAATTTTCATAATGTTAACGTCGACCTCCTAAAGTTTGAACTCTCAACGTTATCAACTAT